TATAATCTTGTTCTGACTAGGTTATATCTCTGAAGACAATAGATAAGTCTGTTCCCATCAGAACTGAATATCTCAGGCATGACCCGCTTAGTGGTTATTTTATCCAACTAATCACCCAGTTTCCTCACCCTCAGGCCGGAGTTCGCCACTTTTGTCACAATCAGATTCGTGCACTTTGAGCGTTTCCAATTAAGGCCATCGTCTCAGTTTTCGTCATTTAAAGTACAACAGAAACGCGACTAGGCCATAATAGAACGACTTGAGCCCTGCGCTGCGCCTCCTTTCTTTTTCGCAAATAAAAAGACAATGTGTGATTCTTCTTGGTGCATTTTTTAACCCTGTCTAGTTTTCTCGGGTGTTTTGCTGTGGTGAAAAAATAATATGCGAATCAACACAGCTGTTCCGTAGACAGAAGTATATTACTTAGTGCATTGACTTGGATTAATGTGTTGACCTTAAATTTGTTTCAAAGCGGATCCTAGTTCGTGTCGATAGATGAAATGATTGAAACCGTAACAGAACTCAGACTATCGGTCAAAAAATGAAAAAACCGCTGTAACACAATTGAAGCACGTGTAACGCCAGTCGTAGTACAATATCAATCGGCCGAAGATGTGCGGTGCTTCAGGAAGACTACTCTCAATAACAGGCTATGCGTACTTAGGTCTCTGCGACGCACACTTTGCTGTCTTTTGGCTGCCCATTCCGATGAAAGCTTTAGAGAGAAGGGTAGGATATTTGAAATCAATATCAAGGAGAAAGTGGAGAATCTCAATAGACTACGGTTGCAATGAAAATGAGAAGATGCACGAGAGCCACTGTTTACGACATTCGACCACATCCCTCAACGCCTCTAACCAAAGAATACAACCATGCCAAGGCCCGCATCCGGGGACCTGAAAGCGAGCTATATGACCGATTCTCCTAGTCAGGATTCTCATACCCTTATTCTAGGTCTTAGTTTGACCATCCTTTGCTTTTTTCCACCCATTACTTGCCTCAGAAAACAGCACGTGCCTTGGTGGCATGCGTAACACACCCCAACCACCGTAATCTACAGACCACTTGCTGCAGTGGGCAACCGCGATTACATAAAACTGTGTCTTGCCTCAGCTTTGCTTGTCCTGTTGCACCACCAAACCCGTACAATGCTGTGTGGACAGCGGTGTTTGCACATCGACAGTGTTTCTTTATCCTGTTTTCGTAATGACCAAGTCTCTGCACCATGCAGCAGCACCGGTCGAACTGCTGCTGCATAAACCCGACCTTTCAAAGACAGCCTGATGTCGCGACGGCGCCTTAGATGCCTTAATTTCGCACCTGTAAATGGAGCCTTCTGTATGCCAGCCAACACTTCATCTGCGATGCGTCCACATAAAACATCTCCACTGGCCTATTACTTCCCTAGATAGAGTACAGTAGGAAGCTGAACTAACAAAGTCCTGTAGCAACCTTTTGTACTTATTGATCGTGGCTGCACTGGCACACAGACCAAGCAGAAAAGCTTTCAACCCACCCGGATCTTGGAGTGACGATGTAATCCTTTTCTATAAACTCTATAAATACACATCGTTATTTCTGTAGTGGATTTCTAGTCAAACATTCTCTCCCGTGATCGGTTTGCACGCCTAGACATTTGAGATCGTGGTTTTGTTACAATCCTTTAAGTGACGCATTCTGTTTGTTTTGTTCTTTTGTTTTCAATACGGTTACACGTTGAAAATCGGCTAGCATAGCTCGGGTGGATTGAGCTCGTTTCCGCGTATTCGCCCAGTTTGGCATTTTGCTTGCAAGCGTTCAGTCACCAGCCTAGGTGAACTTCAGTGCTTGTTGAATGGCGGTGTTCTGCTTCTGCTCGTTTCCATACGTACTCTTCCTTCGTGACTTTTTGTCGTTTGTTCCCGTTGTCTGCAACCCGGTTCGCCGTTGAACGAACACGAGGGGGAAGTAGAACACCGCCATTCTACAATCGCTGAATAGTTTACCTTGACTGTTGATGTTTAAAAATAAACTGTCAATCTCGGCGAACATGCGAAAATAAAGGTTTGTATGTTTCAACAGCAAATTAAACACTACTTCATTACGCTGTCGTAGAATATGTGTGGTCTTCGGCTGCGTACAAGCAATGTATCTACCCTGTAAGGGTATGGAGAAACAATGAAGGGCATAGTATGGGTGAATGCTCGTATTGTGGACTATTTCGCTACTCCTTTACCCGGATCAGAATAGGACGTTGTCTTAACGAAGCTCAACCTGAGACCTCGACTGAGTAGTCTGATTCATAAGGTAGTCGAGCGGTGCTTTGAGTTCGGGCCTCACAGGAGATAGTAGTCCTCTCGATCGAATTATATGCCCTTCGGATGGGACTTCCATGCCCAACGTACCCAACACGGCGCATTGTTCAATCGACTCAGTTTGTGCTTTCTCAATAATCCTGGAAGAGGTTTATACACCTCAGCATAAGTTGTTTCGAATCATGGTT